GCCCCCCCCCCCCCATTTGCATGCCCAGCGCGTGGCTTGACGGCGCGTAGATCATGTGGCCTCTGTGGGGTTTGCGCGGGCTTAAGGCCAGAGCGGAGACAAGACTCGGTCATAACAAACATACACCCACTGCACACAGCACACACTTGCACTTGTCTCACATCGCCTTGCCAGGACTATCCAACCGCTCGTCTTGTCGTCACCGTCTTGCCCCCTCGTCGCCATAGCTGCTCGGCACCGTTGCCAGATGATGATATCGACGCCAATCATGTCGTAATGCTACCGTCCATGACACAATCACCTCGCGTGCCATCTCGCCCCGGTTTCCTCGCCCCACGACCCAGCCAGCAGCCACCAAACACTGACACTGATCTGGCCTGTTCCTTCGGTTCCTGGAGATCGCCCGCCCCTGTCCGCTTTGGACACGTCATGCGTCGATCACTTTGTGAGCATGAGCAAGAAATGCGCCACAAACGGCGCGTCTGCGGGTAAGGCTGGCTTTCCTTTTTTCGGGGGGTGCGCTTTTCCGTCGTGTTCCGCCCTCTTGCGTTTTCCGAGCTTCCATATCACGTGCATGCAGCCTTGCCGCACATCCCGCCTCGCCGATGCATCCACACCCGTTCCTCGGCCACCACCCCCCCTTTGCTTTCCTCGGCTGCCACCCTTTTCTGAGATAGCCGAGCATCTTCACACATTGTCCGGTTTTGGCTGTTCCCCACTTGGCTCAACTCCGAGGCTGGCACGTGTTCTTTCAAGCACACACATAGTTTTTTTTTCTTGCTCCTTCTGCGCGCACCGGGAGAAACTGAAAGAAATGAAGGATGAGGGGGGAAAAAAATTTCCTTGCACTCCGCTAGCTAACCTCACCGCGCAGGCCTAATCCCCGTCAGCCCAACATCCCATAAGCAGAGAAGAAGAAAAACAGAAAATAAAAGAGTGCAATTCAATCAATACTATACATTAATAATCTCAAAGGGCGCAAAAAATATCGAATGTTCAAACTTATTTTCTTTTCGGATCCTTCCAATATGCATATTTTCCGCCTAGTATGCCCGGCTGCCTACCTAGCCCCAGTCTCCCAACAGAGAAAAGCCAGACTCTGCTCTTTGCTCGTCAACCAGTCAGTCCATCAGTAGGGCGGAAGAGAATTTTCCCTCCCCCCCCCTTGCCCACACGTACTAGCAGTCATGAACCGTGGGCTTGGCGCGCGCCCGCACCACCACCAGCATATCGCACCACCTGGTCCATATCACGCACACACACACACACACATACGATGCAATACACTACTAGGTGGGGTAGAGTGGAGTGGGGCGGAGTGGGGGGGGTTCCCACTCGGCAACTACTATAGTCCGTGCAAGAGAGAAAAAAAAGCCCACTTGGTGCATGATGCTTGTTCGCTGTTCGCTGTTCGCTGTTCGCTGTTCGCTGTTTATTGTTCCCCGAGACCTTGTTATCCATGTATGTACACCAATGTGTGTGTGTGTGTGTGTATGTATTGAGCTGGGACTTCCCGGGTATACAGTAAGTAAGCCCAGGTTCGCTCTCGGAGAACCTCCCGGGTTTTACCGTGATAAGGCAGCTTGTGATATATTTCCCCCCCCCCGCCGCCGCCGCCGCTCGTACGGTGGTGGTGCGAGAGACGAGTCTGTGGGAATGAGAATATCCGGGTATGTGGGAATGAGGAGTTTTGGCTACGTTTGCGTTGCGTTGGCAGTCAGTGCGAGTGCGAGTGCGACTTGTACGTGTAGGTGGTATACGACGGATACGGTAAGTAAACGGCTACGTACACCTACAGACTGCGAGTAAGTAAGTACGTAAGTACGGCTACGAGCACGGTTGCGTGCGTGCATGCATGCATGCATCCGCGTCCCGAGCATGCAAAAAAAAATTAAATTTAAATATTTGACTCTATGTGTACATCTGCTCATGCATGCAATCTCGTGATACTACTATGCTGGGTTCAT